ATCAACGAGATCTTTGATTCTCATTTAGATTGTTTCGGCTAGAAATCGGTCGATTTCATATTCGAACTTCGGGCTGCATACTGCTAAGCTGAAACTTAGAAAAAATCATAACTTCCTCATACGAAGTCATATTTGGACGTTCTTTTTATGTTCGCTCTCGTTTTAACGTATTCTACGACTTTCGTTTAGATCGCTAAGGCTAAATATCGCTCTATCGTAAATTCACTATTTACATCGCGCTGTGTCGTGTCGTGTCGGTTCTGTCCCGAAACTTCGACAGGTCATAACTTCTTCGTTATAACTCGGATTTCAACGTTCTTTATATGCACGGAATCCTTCTAACATATACTACAACTTAGTTAGGACTAATCCTCCTAAATAATCTTCTATCAAAAAAGTCATTTTTGATGTTCCTTGTCTCTAAATTGACTAGCCCTGATCTACGGGCGTTACATCCGATTCATCCAACTAATCGACAAGTTAGAATTGTTGTTGGGTTTGAGTTTTGGGATGGATTTAGGTTTGAGGTTGATTTGACGAAAGTTGATAAGGAAAAACAATAAAGTTTAAAAACATTTGCGGAGTAACATTTGGAACTTGGACTGGGTAATATTATCTAACATTTTGGTATTGAAACTGTAGTGGAGATTGAATAGAGCATCGAGTTGAGGATGATAAACTCCTTGTGATGATGAATTGATAGCAAAAATGTTTCGAGTAGGTGTGCTTAAACTCGAAACATGAGTTTTTTTTCCTTCTATCAGAGGTTGTGGTTTGATTGTCGGAATTTTTTTTTTTGAAGAAAATAGAGGTTGTAGAGGGTTTGTTTGAAGGTTTGATGGAAGATAAATGAGTATGCGTATTTATAGATGTTTTAAAGGGTAAAAAAAAACAAAAAAAATTACATAAATGATATAGCTGTTGGTAAAAAAAAAATTGTTTTTCTACCGTTTGTTAACAGATACTTCAAAAAAAAATTGCACCAATCACAATTGGAGAGAGAACGCGGCAAAGCCTCCCCTACCCTTCCCCGCACCACCCTTTCCTGCACCGACGGTGCAGTGTTCCACCGTGCAGGTAGAGTCTCGCGGCCTTCCCCGTTGTATATTCCGTCCGGCCTTATAGGAAATTGTGACGCATTTGGGACACATTTAGATACAAAGGAAAGAAGTCTTAGTGATGTCATTACTAGTAGGATTTGGAAATTTGATGACATCATTAGCAAAACGTTTTTATGTGATTCTATAGTCTTGGGACTGAATAAAATCCACACAACTTCCGGGCAACAGACTGATTGATAAACCCTCGTTTCTCCATGACGTAAAATGTTTTTCAGCCATTAAGATTTTTATAATACATAAAATGATGTTATTATGGTTTTACGATTTTATTAGTCATTAAAGACCTTATTTTAATCAATTTTGGTCCCCAACCGATCCATGCCTGAACTATGTGGCAAATTTCCAGCCGAATGGGGCTTCTAGTGAGGAGTTTAAAACCTTAAAGTGTTGCATTATTGTTACGTGACAATCTAACCTCACAACTTAATATCATATATCACTTTTTTATGTTTTTTTTATCTGTAATCAATTATTGAAGCGTTAAAAGCTTTTAACGCCGATTATATAACTTGTAAGCATGAAAACATACTTTTGTCTATCATTAACTAATAAACATCATGATATTTTGTGTGCAAACTCGTCTTAATTGCATATAAAAAAACTCAAGAAATCTCATACCACTTGATGGATAATACATATGAATATAATTGTTTCACACTATTAAACAAGGCATTGCTTGATAACGTTTTTGCCATATCTTTTCATGTTAATTAAAAAAAAAAAAAAAAAAAAAAAGAGTAAACTAAATTGAAAATGACGTTTTACAAGTTTTTAATGTAGGTAAATTTGAATTCATTATATCTATAAGTTATCAACTTGATTTTAATGGTTATACTTTTTATTGCTTTCTTAAAAGATTAAATTTTATATTTTAGAAGTAAATAACTAAATGGAGTATTACGGATAGAGTTGTTTTAGGGGCAAAAAAAAAAAAAAAAAGTTCAAATACTATTAAAAGTTGACAAAATGGACCGTGATCACGCTCACCAGCGGGATGATAACAATAACATTAGACGAAATACCCAAACTGCCCTTTACCTCTTTCCTATAAAACCTCCTGCTTTCCCTAACCCTTCCATCATCCCTCTTTTCCGACCTCCGATCACCGGTCACATCCTTTTCCGAAGCTAATCTCTTACAGAACTGGCCAACTTTCAAGAAGCTCTGGAGGATTCCGGCAACGGGAGCGTGGTGCTCTCCCTATACCATGCGTTAAGCTCTCGCGACGTCCTAGTCGTACACAAACTCTTAGCTCCTGATCTCGAGTGGTGGTTTCATGGCCCTCCGTCTCATCAGTTTATGATGCGATTGCTCACCGGAACTGATAACGAAATCACCGACTCCTTTGAATTCGTGCCTCTTTCGATTGACGCCTTCGGATCTACAGTCATCGTCGAAGGCTGCGATCAACGCCGTGATATCTCCTGGATCCACGCCTGGACTGTCAATTCGCATGGGATAATCACACAGGTTAGGGAATACTTCAACACTTCCCTCACTGTCACTCGGTTCCTTAACTCTACCAAACCTGTTTCCGTTACTTCGTTACATTGCCCTTCCGTTTGGGAGAGTAGTCTCGCTAATCGCGTCGGAAAATCTGTTCCTGGTTTAGTTTTAGCAATATAAAATAAGGATAACATCAGTCAATAAGAGCAAATCAAAGTCGTTTTGGATTTTGATTTTGATACAATTAGAGCAACCGTGATATCCTGCATCTGAGATGATGTAAGATATTCACGGCTAGTTTATGTGGTTATCAATTTCGTTTTCTGCTAGCTGTGTTTGAGAATAAGTGTAATACATCATGTTGATCATACCCTATTTGTGGTCAATATATTTCGATGATATAAAATCGTATGTTTGTTTTATGATGAAATTGCATTATATTGATTTCCGAATTTGTGTAGTTCTACAAGATATGGTTTTTAAGCTATGTTCTTGGATGTTATTGTGTATTCGTTAAATCAACCATAAGAATTGCATCCATTTAACTTTTGTAGTATACAAGTGGTAAAGTATCTTGAAGCTGATTTTTGCTTATTTAATAATGTTAGCAACGATTTAATTGATTTTATTCGATTTCTCTGATTCTCTATTCTTTCTTAAATTATTATAGTATGTTACTTTTCATACTCAAGAACACAATATTAAAATCAGATTTTGTTTTCGGATATTATTATTCTTAAACAAATCTAAGTTAAGGTATCTAACTTTGAGCCTTTTTTGGAATACATTGGGCTTAACATAATAAATATCTAAAAGGATTAAACATGAGAATAATGCATGTAGTAGGTAAGTTTCGAATCTTTATAACTTTATTTCACTTTCATTCATTCATGTCTGGATGCCAGTTTTTCTTGAGGATATGCTTTCAAGTTTCAACATTATCCCTTTTGCCGATGCACTCATGCACCACACACACACATTAAATGGGTGCATTTTTCAAAATGTTTTTCAATAATATCTTGCAAACATATACATCCATGAATCATTAATTGTACATGACATTATGTTTTATAGAATATACAAGAACAATTCAAATCTAGCATATCACAAACGACAAAAGAATGTTAACTAAAGAAGCTCGACCCTAAGACATATAAAACCTGATAATTTTAGAAACCTAACGAAGGAGTAAAATCAAATGTACAAAACGTAGCTTTGTGTGTGTGTGTGTGTGTTTTATATATATATATATATATATATATATATATATATATATATATATATATATATATATATAGAGAGAGAGAGAGAGAGAGAGAGAGTAGTTGTTGGAAATGAAATTTCATGCAAGAGATCCAAAGTTCAAAACTTAGACACACCAAAAATATTGATAATGTTTTGCAATTGACTTTTATATATATCTTGACGGATTGATATGAGATGTTCAGATGGTTCGGTTACCATGGACAAATTTACTTTGTAGCACGGGATAGCACGGGCTACCATTCAAATTTTCTCATCAAATGTAAATTTAGTAAAAATTCGTCAAAAATCCGTTAGAAATACGTCACAAATCTATCACGAATTCGTTGGTAATCCATCACAAAGTCAGGATAATTGTGAATTAGTGGCGGAAACTATCTTTAGAAGTGATTTTTTTTTCTCTAATAGTACAACCCTTAAAAATGTGTAACCTCTAACTTTTCTTTCTAGATCTGTCATTGATGGTTACATATTTTCTTTTTAATATATTGTATGATTGTAGAAGACAACATAACTATTAATGACTAATATATAAAAAATGTGACATTAAGCTCAGAGGTAGGATTGTAAATAAACCGAACGTTCTTCGTGAACCGTTCGGCGGGAAGTTCGATTATGTTCGTTTATTTAATAAATGAATAAATATAAACACAAATTTTCGTTCATTTAGTTAAACGAACAGACATGAACAATGATCTTGTTCATTCAATTATGTTCGTGAACGTTCGTTTACATTTGTTTATGTTCGTTTATAAAAGTTTTTTTTTAATGTTGATATATGTTTAATTGTATTTGATTGTATTACTATATTATATGTTTATTTATGTTCATATATGTTTGAATTGTGTTTGTTTATCTCTGTTCATTTATGTTTGTTCGTTTATGTTTGTTTAGCATATTCACGAACATAAACGAACAAACATGAACAATGCAATTTGTTAAACGAACGAACATGAACAAAAAAACTCGTTTGTTTATTCGTTCATGTTCTTTCATTTGTTCGGCTAACTTAAACGAATGGATATGATTTTTTATTGCTACATATGTTTTTATATTCCCAATGTAAGCCTAGCGTGTATAGATAGTAAGAAGAGTTTAATAGGTTTTGTTTTGAATTAAAAAAAAACCACATCCAATCACAACCAACCTTTTCCTTCTCTCTCTCTTCTCGCTACGTCTGTAGCGATCCATCACTAGCGAGTCCCCTAGCGACTCTTAGGGGGTGGTGTAGAAATGGGCAGCGAGTGTTTTGGTGAGAGGGGTGATAAGACCACTCCCTTAAGCCTAAATAAAAGTGTGGGGGACCATTATATCAATAGAAAGAAGATGCCAACATTGACCACAAAGTAGTTCAACGCATCACTAGCTTCTAACACCTTTCAAAATTCCAGGCATGCTTAAATTGTAATGTTTTTGTTACTCTCTTGTATGATTTTCACAGAAGCAATACAACTTTAGTTTTTATTATCTTGAACAAGTTTTTTTCTTCAATTCATTGGTGTGGTTTCATTGTTATAACAAATTGGTATCATGCTCCAAAGGAATAGATCAGTTGGAGTTTCTTGCGTGATCTTTGGATATGTTTTCTTGCACATCAATTGAAGGAGTGAAAAAAACAATCGGGTATACATGTTGCATTCTCGATTCGAAGATAATAAGAACATCAAGACGAGTGTGGTAGAACTTTATTGTCATATTGATCTTTACAAGGTTCCAAAGGCAACGGTCTCTTCTTTTTGTGTCATTTGGGTGTTGGAACAAAAATGTACTTTCAATCATACCGTACTATTTTGGTGCATCTCAAATTCAGAGGAGTAGGAGTACGTGACATGGATATGATGAATGCCTGGAGTCATTATCTTATTCATTTTTGGGGATAGTTGAACTATATTTATTTATGTTGAAGTAGACACCGTTATGTTTTGGAAATCGTTTATTTTGTTTACAAACTTAAATGGTTCTATAATGTTGTTTTTTAATTAAGTACTTTGTTTTCTTATATTACGTTGTTATTCCTAATGAATAATGATCGAAAGTAAGTGGTAAGGTAACTGCGTAGTGTTCAAAAAGCTATATAAGAACTAGACATATCCTTCAATGAATTTCATATAGTACGACTTGAACGAGCTTAATTTGAATTCCAAACTTAAATTACTTGATTAAAGCATGACTTATTAACATGTATGCTAATAAAACTAAAAAGACAATGATTTCTAAAAGTAACGAACTTTGTTACGTGCATATTTTTATTCACTTAAGTTTTTTTTTCATGTCTTGCCATTGAACTTATTTATGGTGTTCAAAATATATCGTTATCATCGACCATTATAGGTTTAGCTGGTCAAAATAAATATTACAACGAAGACTATGAATTTTACGATCAAGGTTTTTGTGTGTTTTTTAATAGCATTTTAGTTTCCATATTTAACATATCAAAATCTACAAGAAATTTGAACAATTCATAAAAATGTATTCAATTTTCAAAACCTACAAAAAAAATTTTAGATTTGTATTTGATTTTAAAAAATATGAACAACTAAGAAACCAAAAAAAAAAAAAAACTTAGCTCTTGTTCTTGGGTCCGAAGAACTCAAAAACTACACAATTAAAAAAAACAGAACAATTCAAAAAATGTGTTTGTGTTAAAAAAATCTAAACAACTCAAACAATCGATTTTCTTGAGGGTTCTTGGGTCTAAAGAACTCAAAAACCATAAAAATGTATATGTGTTCATGTGTGTCCTTAAGTTTCAACAACGAGAAATCATACTTATGTGTGTATTCTTCATATTCTTGAGTTCCAGAAACGAGATCATTATGTTCTTGATAGAAACTCCTAAAATATGAGTTCTTGGAGCTCTTAAACACTGTAAAAGATATGAACACACATACATACGTGAACAACACACACAATCGATAAAGATACATAATATATCAAATCGAAATCTAGAATCTAAAAAAATCACACATTGATTTTTTTTTGGAAGAAATCCATCTTTGGGTCCAATTTTTTAAGGCAAATTGGTCTATATGGATGAATACGTATATATACACGACGAACACAAATTTGGTTTATTTTAGGGCAAATTGATTTTACTTCTAGGCTTATTTTAGGACAAATCTATTTTGATTTTATTTTTGAGGACACACAAACATATGATTTGAATTTCGTTTGTGTTCTTGAACAAGATGCACAGATTTGGAGTGTGTGTATTTTTTTTAACCCAAATTATCGAAAAAATCATGTTTAGAACCTATAAGAGTTGGCCATAATGATATTTTTTAAAAATAATAAGGATTAAATGTATACACGGGTAAAGTTCATAATTTTACTAATCATTAACTTTAAAGTAATCATAATGGTTACAATATAAGAGCTAATGCCACAAAAGACATTATTTATACGACCTTGTTCTGTTTTAACCCCTTTTTTTGTTCCTTGAACGCCATATATTTTGGAATTTTTTTTGGACCTTTGGCTGGTCACCAACAAGTTATGATGGCAAATCGGTTTAGCTAACAGGTCCTAAACCCTAAATTTTAGGGGTTGATCCCTATTTAAAGGACCTTATGTCCTTGGACCAGCCTCCCTATCACCCTTAAGCAACCACCTCGAAAACCCTAACCCACTTTTGTGTATTTTTTTTTCCATTTGAGAGCTTCTTTGTGTGATTTTGGTGTTTTAGAAGAAAATGAGGTTGAAGAAGGAGCAAGGATTCAAAAGGAGCTTGTAGATCCAGAAGATTAGCACCATTTCTGACTCATTTGAGGTATTAAGCTTCAAACTTGATCATTACATGTTTAGATTTGATGTTGGGGTGTTTTATGCCACTTTTGGACTCCATTGTTGAGGCTTCTTGCATCTTGATGATTTCAGACCATAAGAGCTGTCCTTTTGGGCTTTTGGAGGTACTAAGA